TCATTTAGTGGTCCTGTCTTACCCCATGTCTAGTCCTTTTTTACCCCATTTTAGAATACATGTCAGGCAGTAATGGTAGCAGGTAGGAATACCTAGTACAGTATGTCTAAAAAGTTGCTTTTTACTTGAGGTTACCTGCCTACATCCACAAACCTGGCCAAAAATTTTTTTGTCATTCGACAGAGCTTATTCCCAAACAGGGTTAACTATTTTGTGACCCTTCTCTACATAGGTTTTCTTTCAAAATTAGCCAGAAATTCATAATTTGCAGAAGAGGGTTGAAACAAACACTGAAATGACAGGCAATGATTGCTCTAACATATTCAGTTGTCAAATTAAATTCAGTGCAATTAGAGTGCACACCATGGGCTGGTCCTTTCTTACCCCATGAAGGCTGCAATCCTGTCTTACCCTATTTGACTATATTACTAGTCAATACTACTATACTTGACTGGCAAATTTTTTAGAATACAGTTCATTATTAATTGCCTGATGTAGTTCAAAATTTCATTCAATATCTGGATGATATATAATGCTGGTTTCCATGTTACTTAACTGGTCATGGGATTCACCTAGAGATTCTTAGAAAAGTTTCACATTTGCTACTATAGTATTTGGCCATGTTGTGAGCAAGCATAGATTGAGCAAATTCTGCATAACTTTAACTCTCTCTGTATAACATTAGCTTTCTCTGCATAGCTTTAAATCTCTCTGCATAGGTTTAAGTCTCTCTACATAAATTGACTCAAACTCTGCATAACTTGATCTATAACTTCATTAAACAAATATACTCATGGCTTATACAAGGTCCCAGAAGGATTACTAGAATTTGAAACAAGAACCAACACCAGGGGCCACGGCTATAAACTAAAAAAACAGCGTTGGAACAGATCCATGTGTATTTAAGTAAGTGCCAGAGTTGATAGGAAAGACGTAGGTAGTGGATACATCTGATGTGAGGCTGCAAATGGACTGCAGCTAAGAGGCTTGGCTTATGACTTCCAATGCCTGCCTCTGACTGACTGGTGGTCGGCTTGAAGAGCATAGGTATATAGGTAGAGTGAGACCCACCACAATGACATAACAATAGGTGACATAAAAGAGACTAATGACTTCATGGGTGCTGCTGCTCTGACATAAGTTTTCCTGCATCATAAGTCTCTAGCAGTGCAAACATGAAACCAATTTGCAATATTCTATATGTTAGATGATTTACAGAATGGAATTTTTATACTAAGAGAATACTATGATATATACTGATTCTGATGTTCAGTTACATAATGACAAAAATATTAACACATTGAGTTTGATATGACCCACCAGTGGGTTGTTGCTGATTTCCATCTGCTGCAAAATGGCCCATGTGTGGGTTGTTCATAAAATAATGTGCGTTTAAAAATTAATTTTTAAAGACAACACTTCTATAAAGAATTCAATGTCTGCGGTGTTACATATGTAGAATGAATTTTAATTTTATTATCAAATATTAAAATAATTACCATAAAAGGGGGAAACTTAGACCTTTTTTTAAATGATGTCATTTTTTTACTAGCTAAATTTAACTTAAATAGAAACATGCAAAATACAGGTCTATACTCTAGGTTCACTTACCATAAATTGCTGGCTCCTGCCTCTCATAGTTTTGATGTAATTTCAAAAAAAGTGATGGTCTTTCTTATCCCCACTCTTGGGGCATCTTGGTCTGGGTGGTAAAATCAATTTTATTTTTTTTTTGTAAAATAACTCCAGGTTTTGGTGCATTGTAGTAGAACTCTTCTAGTTACATATGCAAATGACAAATTTGAGGAAAGTGTCATGATTTGCAAATGGGGGGCGCTGCCCCTGAATGGGGGAATTTAAACCACCGTCAAACGGGGTTAAAAGGGACGGTTTTGAGCATTTTTTATTAGCAACTTCTTACCATGAAACATTTCAGAAACAAGTTTAGGCTCACTTTATAGCTCTTTGCAAGGGCTATTGAATGGCATCTTAAAAAAAATTCCATATGCTATTCGTAAGGTGCCAGACGCAAAATAAAACCGTCTTGATTTACCCCTGGGAATGGGGTAATCCAGGAGACTTGCAATAAAAGTTAATTTTAAAACATTTGAAGCATGCAGAGTGTACTCATCCATTACTAACAGTACTCTGAAGTCCTCTTTCATTGTAGATGATGTAGATGTAAATAAATGACATTTTCTGTGATTTTTACTTGTTTTTCCTTTATTGATATGATATTACCATATTCATTAATTACCGTATTATTAATGTGATATTACTGTATCCATGCACATGCCATTGAGCATCGACAACGACCTTGTCCACTGCAAGCTTCATATCAGCAGCCATGTAGCATTTCTTCTGTATCTGTAAGCTTATAGGATGGTTTGTAATTTCACACAATTTTAATCAAGTCAAGTGATTTCACTATAACAAAAAAGATCGTGAAAAACATACCAGAAACAGAAAATAATGTTTTAGTGACAACCATCATATGTTTTGGAGAAATAAATCATAGTTTAGGTCAATTACTTTTCATTCTATGATGCCCGGTGCACAATTCTATATACCTATAGTATTCTATGTACAATTTTGTGACAACCAATGATGCACTAATTTTTTGATGAGTGAATTTTTTCGCTGAGTGATGTAAATGTAATCAAAATTCTTTGTTGTTAATCAATTTCTTTGTTAACTGGAGCCTTTGCTAACTGAGGTTCTACTGTAAATGCATTTTTAAGGGTGTCCCTAATTACCCCACGGGGATGTCCCTTTTTACCCCATCATGCGGAAATGGCTGCCATTTTTTTAATGTGATAGGCAAATTCCGTCAATTACATTTTCAAGCCAACACGTGGGTGCAACTTTAATGTAAGTAAAATTTTTTAATATGGCAAATATTTTTTTTTGCTCCAGACCTTAGCAGAGGTACTTTTCCAAAATCACACTTTTCACACTTTTTTCAGCAATTTTTTAGAGATAGTAAATGTTTGATTTCTTGACTAGATTTATAGATAATAGATAGTAAAAATGTTGAAGTTTACGCCACTATTTTTAGTTTTGCCATATTTTGATTAGTTTTGCTGCTACAACATTTCTACTAAATGTGGGATGTGCGTCACGATTTACCCCACCCGTCCCTTTTTACCCTGTTTGATGGCACCTAATGTTTGCAGGTCCTAGGCATCTTGAACTAAGGTCAATAACTATAAGTTTAAACTCTACATCTAACAATAATTAGTCTGTAGAGTCTGAAACATAACAAAAAAACAGTAATAGGTGTATCAAACATAAAATGTGTTGAATATGGTAATTTTAATTCAACTTCCAAGCCCGCCTATGTTACCCCGTCAGGGCTGACATTAGGTGGTCTAAGTCAGCCGAGGGCGGGGGTGGCGCCCCCCATTTGCAAACCATGACACTTTCCTCAAATTTGTCATTTGCTTATGTAATTAGAAGAGTTCTACTACAATGCACCAAAACTTGGAGTTATTTTACCAAAAAATAAAAAAATTGGAGGGGGTTCTACGAGAGGCTTTAAATACTCTTTTTTGTGGGTCACATTTTTCAATTTTTAACCTATTAGATATTCTTAAATTTTTTATCTTTCTATTGTGTATCTAATACTATTGTGTTACATAGCCTCAGTATTAGGCCTTTAATGCCCATTGACAAAATTTTTCTATGTCAAATAGGTAGTTTTTGAGTTTTGGAGTTTTTTGTTAAAGAAACTAAAATTGGTTTAAATTACCCTGGGATTCAAGTTTCCCCCTTTTATGGTAGGTAAGTTAAAAGTTTTATTTTTAAAATTAGAATATTTAAATTTTTCAAAATTATTTATTTTGTCAATTGAATCATGCATTGTCTCCAACTTTATGCAAGTGTGCAAAATTTCAGATCGATTGAACAGGTAGTAGTGTGTTAATTAGCAATTATAAGAAATATAGCAGACATAATTATTTTTTTCAAATTTTTTATATTGGAAATGAAATTTTTTCTAATTTTCAAAGTGATTTATTCTGTCAATTAATTTATGCATTGTCTCCAACTTTATACAAATGCATCAAATTTTAGATTGATTGGACAGGTAGAAGTGTGTTGAATATTGCTTATAAAATTTGTAGCAGACAGACAGCAGGAAATAAAGTTAAAGAGAAGTGTTTTTAAGAATGGGACATTTAACATGTTAAGTGCGGGGGCCGAAACTGCTGACTGCCCGCTGGTGCAGCTATGTTTGGGTTGCTATAGCATCAGTGCCTGTCCAGATATTGAAGTGGGAGGTTGCGTATGTGTGTTTCTCAATGTGCTCCACATGTTGGCGCAATAAAATTCACGACTCACATGTGAGTCGTTTCGCAGCAGAGTGTGAGATTTATCATGTCACTGCAGCACGACCCACATATGGGTCNATCATGCAGTAGCCTACAATGAATGAGATGAAAATGACTCTGAATAATAAATGAGATCCTTTATTCAGAGTAGAGTTGTTGCCATTTAGTCAATTAAGGAGAAAACTGGTTTGTTCTTCCTGCATCCACACATATTAGACCTAGCAACATCTTGTAAATTAATTCATGATGAATTAATGACCAAATTTTAAGGGCAAAATTTTGATGGAATTTCCTGTATTTCTATGAAAAAAAACATTAGAAGAGTATAGCAGAACATTCTATTTGGTTGAAAGTTTATTGTCTGTATTTGAAATACCTTGTAACTTTAGCATTGCTTTCCAACTGGAAACTTCTATTTTATAAAAAAAAGCAACCATTATAAGTTACATTGCACAATAGCCTTGCTGGTGTACTTGTCATTTAACCTAAATGCATTGGAGTTACTGAAAATAAACCTTTTTTTATAGATGTAGCTGTTTTTTTAGGAGTGGATGTTAAATGTTAGAATAGCATTAATTATGATTATGTATGGGGTCAAAGAAGTTGGTTGGCTTTTCTCAATTCTGCCATAAATTAGCTACCAATTGATTCATTTTCCTCATTGAGCAGGTCAAATGACACTTCGTGGTTATAAATTTCCAGACCTCGCCTCTCAAATTGCACCCTTGACCATACGTGTGGTGAATTTACCTCTCTCAGTAAGTTTACTTCTAAATGTTAAGTCTCTGCATGTCTGTATTGGCCTAACTCCATTTTAACCAGTAATCAGTTTGTTTCCTTCAATGAAATTGGTAATGGCAAGACATTGTACAATTGTAATTTTTTTTAGTCCGAATTTGAAGGACTTATTGATTTTGCTTGTGTCATTCCTGTAATCAATCTTGTTTATCATACATTTATATTAGTTTGTCTCAGAGTGTCAGTTTTGAAATGTTGCAGCTAACAATACATTGTAACACATGAGCATTATAAATAAGCATATTGTAGCTGTAGTTGACATCGTTTGTTGGACAATTTCAAGTTAATCAGAAATGGTAAGATTTTGCAGAAAAATCTTCAAAATATAATTTTCTCCTCTTCACAGATTTTTAAGTTTTTTGGGGCCTAATGACTTTAGTCTATAAATGAGTTAGCATTTTATTAATTTGTGTTCATGGCCCTAGTATTTTGGCATAGTTTTTATGTCTGATTACCTATAAATAACTATTATTCAACTGGTAGTTCATGATTGGATTGGTTTTCATACATCAACTAATGCAGCTTTTTTCTGCAATCACGGCAACTATTAAATTAAAAAAATCTTAAAGCCTAACAATAATGTTTTCACCAATGCTTTTTCTTTGAACTTTCGTCATTTAATTACCACTTGAATTTGAATATCAGGTCACTAAAGATGAGATAGCATGTAAGCTCCATATTGCAAAAGACTACATCACCCTGGAGCAGAAGCCTGGCAAGAAGACTGCCTCTGCCATCATTGTTCCCTCCAGCTGGCGTGAAAGTGATGTGTGAGTTGAGGAAGCCTAATAAACATATTGTGTACTTTTGATGTTGTTGTGAGCAACTACAGCAACTTCCAACTTGCCCCTCTGTCCTGCTAAAACATTGCTATCATATTCTGGTTTGCTGACAAAGGTATGACCTCAAAGTATTTATTCTACATTGAATGCTGAAAAATACCTTAATTTTATACATTAACTTTTCTGGTGGCATCACTAGTTATTGATCTAGCCCAGGTTAGGAAGTAATGTCTTTTTAAATTCTATCAAAATTCTTTGCATCAATAATAAAGTTTGAGAAATTTGTTGCAATATGAGAAGTTTTTCTGCATTACTGTAGGGAAGACTTTAGATTAGGTTCGCACCAGTAGTGGTTTTCTTGAAAAGTGGAGAAGCAGCAAGTGGTTGGCTTGATGTCTCAGAGGGTGCATTTGTTCTGATGTGATGGCTGCAATATCTGCTCCAACTTGCTGTTATTTTCAGTAAATTTCCCTATGCATGGATGTTGAGGGTACCAAAATTATATTAATAGAGTGTTTTGTCCTTTTTTTGATTGTCTACCTCTAAAGCCCTTTATTTACATCTCCATTTCCATTGGCTTCATTGCTGGCCTTACTGCCTGGATCAAACATTAAGTAATTACTTGCTGGATCAAAACCAGGGGCCATACTTTCAAAACTCGCTAAGTGAACGTAAGTACTTAGCACTATTTTCTTGTCTATGATTGGTGGATTTTGCTGGAAAGACCGTCAATGATTGCCTGATGAACTTACGATCTCTTAACTTTTTTTGAAAGTATAGGTCCTGCATTTTCACTTAACTTGTATTTAACACCTTGTGTTCATCTTCCTATTACTTGTTATCAATACATTGGACTGTAACTACACATTTGCTTTTTCGTACTGACTTACTGCATTTGGCTGACTTTTTCTTGTTCCTTGTTCTACATGCAACCCTCATTTCACTGATATTCTTTTCGCTGCACCACTGAAAATTGCAAACAGCAAAATTTAGGGTAGGCAAATTATGAGGTCAATGAAAATGAGTTTTAGGAAGAAATAGTTCTCTTCTGGAAGCTATGGGATTCCTTGTATTGATTCCTAAGACACTGATTACAATGAGGTTAACTTATGTTTCAAGATGCCATTGAAAACATACTGGAAAACTTTTTCTTTCAATTTACTTGATAAAAAGTTATTTAATTTTAAGTTTATTGCAAAAATTTGTTTTTCAGAATTTTGGCTCATTATGATGGAGTGTTCTTTGGGAAGCAGAGAGCATTTGTAAGGCAATCTTATGACACGGACACATCACGACCCTCCTCAGAGCACTACCAGCTTCACAAGCTGTCCAGTGAAGAGTTTGACTTGAGCCCTGCACGCAGTGGACAGCCTACACTTCATGTCCTCAAAGATGACGTCTTGCTTCATATTATGAAATATTTGAGTGTTGCTGAAAAACTGACTCTTGAAGCGGGTAAGTTGCGTGAATGAAACACCTGATCAGCACCGGCTGTTTCTCAGCAGCCATTCTAATCAATCCATTTATCATTATCCTGTGAGTTACTTAGCGCTGCTATTAAGGGAAGACTTTTTCATATCATACTTCATTTGACTAAACAATAAAAAAGAGGACGAGGAACCAAATATTTTAAATGCTACTGTCAGATGTATCTACTGCGAATTTTTAATGATTTTCTCTGTTGATTTTTTTATGGTGCTAGCATATCTCTTTACACTACTACAATCTGTTGAACGTAAATCAGTTCATCATGGTAGTCACCTGCTTATTGTCAGGCTCAAGTTTCCTCTTGACATATTGCAGCTAAACAGGAATGAGAAAATTATTATATAATGGTCAGTATTCGCCATTTTAATGATCATAATAAGCTATAACAATTTCGCAGTGTGTCGACGCTTTCAATCGCTGGTTTACAGCGTGCTGGGCCAGAAAAACGTCATGGACTTCACTGATGACATGTGCGCCTGGCGAAGTGCTTACTCCAACCTCTCCAAATGTCGGAGGTGGGCTTTGGCCGGCTGTCCTTACATGGAAGTGATTGTGTTGTGGCACTACAGTCATTACATTTAAGTGATAGTGCTGCGGGAAGTGATTGTGTTATGACATTACTGTCATTACATGGAAGTGATTGTGTTGTGGCATGACTGCCACTACACGTAGATGATTGTTTTGTGGCATGACTGTCACCACAGGGAAGGGATCGAGTTGTGACAAGACTGCCACTACAGGGAAGGGATCGTGTTGTGACAAGACTGCCACTACAGGGAAGGGATCGTTTTGTGACAAGACTGCCACTACAGGGAAGGGATCGTGTTGTGACAAGACTGCCACTACAAGGAAGGGATCGTGTTGTGACAAGACTGCCACTACAGGATAGGGATCTGGTTGTGACAAGACTGCCACTACGGGAAGGGATCGTGTTGTGACAAGACTGTCATTACATGGAACTGATTTTGTTGTTTCACGATTGCACACCTCAGATGAGACTTCTGACATGTGCCTATATTCGTCAGATGTCCTATCGGATTTCACCTTTCTAGAGACATTGATCCTGGGCGCCCCACCACGGAGCTTGTGATACACGACTGTGGGTTTGTCGTCACGTATGCAGGATTACTAACATTTCTCTATCTCTCGTGCGGGCGGCCGACGTCCCTCGTGAGCGGCCTACTGTACGAGTGTCTTGGTTCCTGTTTCTGTTCACCTGTCCTGTCATATATTTGTTTGTCTCTTTGATATTCTAACTCTGATTCTTTCTTGCCAGCTTTTATGGCCTGGCAACTTGAGACCTCCTGTCTGTCCCATTTGGGTTTATGAATGATTTGTAAATTTGCGAAAATACCTGCTTTATTTTCAATTTCTTCGGTGAAATAGCTTAATAACTGAAATGCTTTTAAACATTCTACTAGGGACTACTTTTTCAAGAACTGTATTTATTCATTTATGTTCATGATTATGTATTTTTCCGTAATCTTTTTTTCATCTGTTTTAAATAAGGCAAGGTTTGGACTCGAGTTTACTTGTATGAGACTATTCCATACACTCTTTCTCTCATATGTTTGCTTGACACCTATGTTGCATTGTTGCATTTCAGCAACACTGTTGTCGTATTCTTTAGAATTGATAGTGTGTGTTGGCATAACCACGTTCGCTTTGCATTTCAGCAACACTTTTGTTGCAATTTTTAAAATTGATAGTGTGTGTTTGCCTAGCCATGTTGGCTCTGCATTTCAACAACACTTTTGTTGCATTCTTTAGACTTGATAGTGTGTGTTTGCCTAGCCATCTTGGCTCTGCATTTCAGCAACACTTTTATTGCATTTTTTAGACTTGATAGTGTGTGTCTGCCTAGCCATGTTTGCTCTGCATTTCAGCAACATTTTTATGGCATTCTTTAGACTTGATAATGTGTGTTTATCTAGCCATGTTTTCTCTGCCTTCCAGCGAGTCGCCGGTCCAGCTCACGCAGAACATCAAGCTCTGCACCTACAAGATGCTCATTATGAACGCTAACCACCTCACTACTCTCAGACTCGACGAGTATCACAGCATCTTTGATGTCAACGTATTTGCTGCTATAGGTGAGCAGTTAAATTTGTCCAGCTTCTTCCAAATCAGACCCTTAAGCTACAATATTTACTTACAAATTTCAGTTGCTAAGCCATCACTGTATTCAAATTCATTTTTATTGCAATTCGTGTTGAAATTCCTGTTTTTATTGCAATTTATGGTGCTCCATTCGGTTGTTTGACTCGAAATAAAGACAGGTTAAAGTTTCAAACAGTCCAGTTGAGTTTGTGAACAACTGCTGAGCCTCTCCGAATAACTGCAAATGATGACATTATTCAATTTTAGGTCGACTTGCTGTGAACCTGGAAGATTTATGCCTGCAGTTTTCGTCAACGAGGAAGCACTACACCCCCATGAAGACCATCTTCTCGCGCTGTTCAAAACTCAGGATTTTCGGTCTCGAAGTGAGGCTCGGATGACAGAGTTGGCAATGCTGGGTCGTAGCAATGGTGCATTGTCTTCGACTTTGTATCACGCATGATGTTCTGCAACTATTGCCAATACCTATAGCGTTGTCTGCACCTACCCAGCAGGCATCTGACGTTGAAACAACGTTGATTATTGATTGATTTCGGGTTGAAATGTTGAACAACCAAAATTAAACGTCATATCAAAGTCGAATCTGACCAACACTAGAAGGGTCGTAAAACAACCTAATTTCAACGTTGAAACAACGTAGATATTGATACGTTAAAATTTTATTTATTTTCAACGTCCGATCAACGTCGAAATCTGACAAAACTAAAACGGACGTAAAATAACCTTATTTCAACGTTGAAACAACGTAGATGTTGATACGTTAAAAGTTTATTTATTTTCAACGTCCGATCAACGTCGAAATCTGACCAAAACTAGAACGGACGTAAAATAACCTTATTTCAACGTTGAAACAACGTAGATATTGATACGTTAAAAGTTTATTTATTTTCAACGTCCGATCAACGTCGAAATCTGACATAACTAGAACGGACGTAAAATAACCTTATTTCAACCTTGAAACAACGTCGATATTGGTACTTTGAATGTTTATTTAATTTTAAACGTCCGATCAACGTAGAAATCTTACCGAAACTATATATAACAGACGTAAAACAACCTTATTTCAACGTTAAAAAAACGTCGATATTCGTACGTTGAATATTTATTTATTGTTGAACGTCCGATCAACGTTTATTTGAAAAAATTTACATGTTCAATTTGAAGAGTAAGAAAAATTTGCTTACGACTTTCAATTAATGATTGAATTTTTTTCAGGGCAGATTCAACAAGGCAGGTTCGAACGAATTGTTGCGAGACTTGAGTCAATGCAAATGCCTGGAGGTGTTGCGGCTGGGCAGCATATATCATCTTGACTTCGCTCTTCTACGGGAGTTGCAAGCTCCTCTGAGAGAGCTCTCGATCCGCAGCTTTGTAACGTTATCAAACTTGAGCTCAAACGATAGCTTTCAAGATTTCCCTTTCAACTCTACCCTCTCGACATTCCGCTTGTTCGACTCCTGGCTCTTATGGAGGTAAGAGTCAAATCCCGTTATACAGGTTTCAGTAAACGTGGACCGAAGAAAAGCAGGTTACAGGGAAGACACGTTAGAGTAAAAACAGTTGAGAGGGAAAGTAGGTTAAAGGAACTAACATGTTGAATGAACGTAACTAACGGTGGGCTTGATGAAATTTCAATTGTTGGTGCTAATCATGAGCGACTCGGATGATGATCAAGCTCGCTGTTTAAACTGAATATATTACATTATGGGTTGAATAATTAGAGCAAGCTTGATCTGAATGCAAGTTTTATCTTTAATTAGATGTGTAATCGTTATAATGCACTATGGCCGTTTCTCTGACAACAAATTTTAATGTATCGCATGAAGGGATTGATTGATAAATTGAGGCAAATGGTTTTTAATTTTTCATATCATTGCAGCGATTTATGGCAGAAATGTTTGTGAAATACGCATCACTACTAATGGAGCCACTGCTCATTGTAGAGTGTAGACCTCTCTAAGCATCTTTTAGTTATGTTAAAAATCTTTTACATGCATCATTTCTAAATTGACTTGAAAATCTTCTTAATATATATATTAGTTCATGTATCAAAATTGTCCCTTGTATTAAAGTTGGATAAACTCGAATCAAGCATTCAATTCTCGCGGGTAAATCAACACGAAATTGTTTGAATGACCTTTCGTACAATTGACGTGCATGTCTCATCATCACAAACAAATATCTGAGTTGCACTTAGGAAGAACGAGACTTCCATCCGAAGTTGAGTAATATTAATTGTTTAATTTCTTGCATTAAGTCCATAAATTTTACATGTGGTGTTTGCTGTGCTTGGCGTGCAGGAAACATTGGCTGCAGGCGGGTGAACTCACCGCCATGGCATGCAAGTGTCCTGCGCTGACCCAACTCCAGCTTGGTTACCGCGGTCATTGTCTGCTTCCTAATTTCAAGACATTCAATAACTTGAAGGTAGAAAATTGTTGCAAGCTTTCGATAATTCATCTTTAGAGACTCTGGACATCTTGTACTTGTGTACATAGATTTGTTTGATTACTCTCAATCCCGAATCCTTATTAAATATTCCTGTGATGTAATTGTTAGTTTATCCTTCTGATATTTCATATAGTGATAAAATGACTTTTTGTTGTCTCAGGTGCTCCATATTATGCTTTATGACGGAGCGATGAAGATCAACAAGAAGACTCGTCATCTTCTTGTAATTGAGGATCTTCTCAGAAGCTGTCTGCCAGACATCGAGGACCTCTACATTGAGTTTTACCCAGGAAAAGTTAATAACGTGAGTTGCGAGTCCAAATTGCAAATGAACTAAGTTAAGAAAAGGCAGTTGGAAACCTTTTTGATATTTTCTATTAGCTACGGTATATTTGCTGTCGTTGATGATTTCAGAGTTCTCAACTTCATGGTTTGCCACTCAGATTTTTTTTCATATGCACCTGTTTCAACTTTGATTTTCGGTTTTTATGTGATATATGAAGAAATCTTTTTTGTTTAAACCATTAGTTTTCAAAGTGTAGAGTCAGGGGCTGCTAGCTGCTCAATATCTCTATTAAAATTCTAAAAGCTGGCATACGTACAGTTTCTCTGGGACAGAAAATTTCAGGGGTGAACCTGACCTTATTTTATGGAATGATAATCTTAATAATTTAGCATATCCTTGTTCGAGGACGTGTGAATAAGTCTTGAAAATATCTTAGAATGCAAGTTAGTTTCCTTATGATTTCGGAATGATAAAGTGTTCATTGGACTTATCAACTATCTTTGGATAGCATGAACTATCAATTTCTATTACAGTAATCCCTCATTTTTAGGCCTGCTTTACTAGATTGAAAATATAAAATATATATTTTTCATTATTTACTTAATCATCGGCACCTTGTAAAAGTATGTCATAAATAAAATTCATTTCATGCAGACATCGCTGCTTCGCTTGAGACAGTGAAATGTTTGAACACCGAAATGAAAAACACCGTCTTAGGAAGACGGTGTTTTATAAATTTTCTTTGTTGCACGCGTTACGAATCTTAGCTTGATGGAAGGCTGACGTAATTTAACTCCCCTTGGAATATTTTAGATGCCCATCTAAGCATTACGCTCACGACATAGTGTCTTGAATCATTAGTTTGGCTACGAGTTGATGGTTTTCCATTTTTCTCTTCTGAAAATAGTTATATTTCTCCTTAGATGAAAGCTGCAAATGAAGTGCTCTGATTAACGTAATTTCTTCAAGAGCCTAATTTATTCGTGTTGTTTAATCTGAGTTATTACTCCTTCAGTTTTACGTTGCGTTACGGTTCCAGATATTCATTATTTATCATATGTCAGGTTGATTAAGCCGGAGTGGTTCATTGTGGCGCGTATGAAAAGGTTCTCGATTGGCCAATGACGATTGAAACAGGAGGATAGAAATGACACGTGGAAGTATCTCGACCGTAACGCAACGTAAAACTGAAAGAGCAATAACTCCGATTGATCAACGTGAATATATAAGGCTCTTTAAAAACTCACGATAATCAAGTGATGTCAGGTGTAGGGTCGGAGATGTTGAGGTTTCCTGGAACTCGATGTATGGAAGATTCTCTGAAGGCCGTCGGATCTCTCTCCAATTCTCTGAAGGGACGTCGTGACTTGGTGTTCGCGGTTACCTTCGGGATCTTGTCTCCTCTCGTACGTCGTCAGATCTCGCGGCATGGGTGTTAATTCTCGCGGTAATCGGTTCACTCGATGTATGGAAGATTCTCTGAAGGCCGTCGGATCTCTCTCCAATTCTCTGAAGCGACGTCGTGACTTGGTGTTCGCGGTTACCTTCGGTATCTCGTCTCCTCTCGTTCGTCGTCAGATCTCGCGGCATGGGTGTTAATTCTCGCGGTAATCGGTTCACTCGGTAATAATTATCCGTCGTTAGATCTAGTAACGTTGCTGTCTATTCTCTGGGTAATCGGTTCACTCGGTAATAATCTTGCGTCGTTAGATCTCGTAGCGTGGTTATCGATTTACGGGGTGATCGGTTAACTCGGTAATAATCATGCGTCGTTAGATCTAGTAGCGTTGATGTCAATTCTCGGGGTAATCGGTTCACTCGGTAATAATCATCCGTCGTTAGATCTAGTAGCGTTGCTGTCTATTCTCTGGGTAATCGGTTCACTCGGTAATAATCTTGCGTCGTTAGATCTCGTAGCGTTTTTTCTTGTGACTGTAGCTTTTTGATTGAATTTACCGTAAACATGGGAAACTACCATATAACTCGATAAACTCGCCAAAATAAATCGTGAAACCAGTGTCGAATATCCTGGGATATGAAAAACTAGAGCTAGCGAGGAACAAAGTCACAGCTCTCATCATCAATATAGACTGAGATAGCGGATAAGTTTGACCAATTAATCGGTTGCCCGTCCACACGCTCAAACGCCCGTCTTTTCCAGGTCCACACGCCCGTCTTTTCCAGGTTTGTCAAACCTTAAACTCCGCCCACCAGTCATGCAAGACGTCAAACTTTGAGCATCCACACGCTCCGTCTTGTCGGTCAAACCTGGCATGTCATGCAAGACTGACTATAAGTTTGAGTGTGTGGACGGGGCTTAAGTTTTTCTCCCCATAGATAGGAGCAACCACGTCGCTCTTTGTCTTTTTCACGACTTTACATAAGCTAGGTTCAATATTATGACATAAAATAAAGTGAGAATTACCTACGCTTCATTCTTAGTTAATCGTAATTTCTGTTATTCAGCTCACCGTAGACTTTTCACTTGCACCGACGTCGGTGAAGACCCTAACGCTGCCTTCCGTCGCTCTGGACGATGACTCATACAAGTGCCTCCTGCGCATGCCAAAGCTGCAGCGAGTCTTCGTCAAAAACGAGAAATTCTCTCTGGCTCAGCTGAAACTGTGAGTCCATCTGTGGCCCTTGCATATTTGTGTGAACTCGAGTGCCGGAGTGGCTAGTTTATTAGCGGACACGTTTTTCGTTGTTCATTCAAATGAGATGGATGATCGATAGACATTTCCTTCCCACGCACACACACTGAATTATAAACGTTGATCTTCAAATTAAAATTTTTGAAGAATAAATTGAAATTTACCAGGCGATGAAAGGATTTTATTATGTGTATATATTTCGTAAAAAATTTGTAACATGCAATACATGTTTCCCGCACACTCCATTGCTGTTACTTGAAATGTAAATTCTAGATTTTCAGATTTATTAGATTTTTATTCATTTTCTAGTAACTATTTTGTACTCTTTTAAAATTACTCATTCAGATCACGCCAAGAATTAATTTCATCTCCCAGTCACGGTTCGTTCTACTTTAACACAAGCTACTTGAGTGCCTATATCGTGTCCAGATGAAGTTGTCCCCGACTAAATTGTATCCCCACACTCTTTTAATGTTGCCCGCCTGTGACAAGCTTTACCTGGCCTCGGATAACCTCACTAAGTGTGTGGTTTCCTGCAGGCTCTACTTTCCTGCAAGTTACTTTTGTACAGTTGTCATGTCCACATGACGCTGTCACTTTCGTAATTGTGTTTCCATACTCGTTAACTCCTAGCCGCTACCGTAGAGCAGCTCCCTAATGCGTGTTGCCCTGCAGGCTCATGGCCCACGTTCAGCTGGTCGAGATCGGCGCTGCGATG